ACACACACACACACACACACACACACACACACACACACACCCTGAATTTTTTTTATACATTCATGAATTGATGGTCACTTTTGATTCTTTGATTATTGTGAACAGAACTGTGATAAGCATGTGAGGTAGATACCTCTTCCATACATCAATTTTATTTCCTTTGGTATTGCTGAATCACAGAGCAGTTCTAACCTACTATTTTCTACAATGGCTGTACTAACTTAATTCCTACCAGCAGTTTCTTCTCTCTGTGTCCTAGCCCACACCTGTCAGTTTTTGTCTCTCTTATAATAATCTTTCTTACTAGAAGAAGGTGCTAGCTCATTGAGGTTTCGATTTGCAAGAGTTGTGGTCTCTAATTTTTGGTGACTGCTTTCTGAGGGCAACACCCTTTCTTTAGACCTTTGAGAAAGCTGTAGTTTAGCAGAAGAGTGAGATTAGCAGGATTTAAAAAGGAGTAAAACAAGGAAAGAGTAGAAAACAACTAGAATACTTATTTCTGCATTGAGATCTTTGGTATGAGACTTTGAATTTGAAAGCTTTGTTTTTACAATGAGGCCCTTGAAAACAGACTCCTTGTTTCAATAATTAGTAGAAAAGGAAGAAAGCCAAACATGCATGTACAACATGCAGGGAGACCCTGGAGTACACACACAGTGGACCATGCAGTCTTAGCAGTCCCTCCCAGTCTGCTGACTTTAGCCAGCCACAGTGAGAACTCTTTCTACAGAAAAACCCAGAGAGTAATTGCCTACCTGTTCACACTCTTACTCCTGCAGCATGAGAGCACTGCTCTGGAATATTCTACTTAGATATATGTTTTGGCTTTGGCTGCTGGCAATTAGACACCCCCACCACCACACATTCGCGCTCACACATACACACACCATTCCTGTAAAATACCATGCTGTTAGCTCTCCAGGGCTCAGCAGCATACATAACTGTCAAATCTTTAAAGTGAAAAAACCCAGAAACAAAAACAAGGCAAACCAGAGCATCGCACGGAACTCGTGTGCTGCCCCACGGGGGCTGTGGATTCCTCTTACACTTGTAACAGTACCTGTTTGCATGGTCTGTCCAGGCTCAGGGAGGAGGACTTGGGTGTTGATGCTTTTGCCTGCTTTCCTCAGCCTGCTCAAAGAGGGGCCTGGGTTTTCCAGAAAACAGCAGCTCAGCCCCATTTCTTTAAAACCTTCTGCATCTGAGCTAACCCTGCATTTCGCTCTCATGAAACGACGAATAGTTTCTCTGTGGAGCTGAGCGTTCTTCTGCCCAAAGGGTTTTAAAAACAGCCCGTGGGTCTCTCCCCATGACCCATAAAGTGGTTATCATCACTCTAGGTGTGCAATTGTGGATCCCAGGGCTCTGAAAGTGAAAATGATTGCCCTGGGGAGGTAGAGAATAGTACCTGAGCCTGTGTGGCTGAGCCCAGGGACTCTGAGTCCTCTGGGCTGCAGAACTGGTGGAGTGTCAGTCAGAGAATAGACATTGGTTAGGTGCCTTGGGGGTGCCTAGTGCACCCTGTCCAAGGTGGAGCTTAGGAAGCACTCCTCGACTGTTCTTATCTGTCTTCATTACCAAAGACTTCAGCCACAGGAGGGATTGGTGACAGGGGATGGGGAGTAAAGTAGGACAGAGGGTGGTAGAAATAGGCTCCACTTGGCTGTCCAGCATGGATCACCGGTTCAACCGTGGGAAGCCAGATCTTCTTCGTTAGAAAGTTCACACCAATAAAATGACTCCAATTTTTTCTTTTTCCTTTTGCACTTTACAGGCTATTTTATCACACATTGTTCTATTTCATTTTCCTAATACAGTAAAAAAAAAAGATAATACTATATCTGAATAGTAGTTTGGAATCTATAAAGCACTTTAACCCCAGAGACTAACTCTCTTACAAGTCAATGAGGTGCGATTATTCTCATCTAGTAGGTAAATACACCGAGGATTAGAAAGGATGGCTGACACATTTACACCAAGCAGAGGTAAGTCTGGGCCTTTCCCATAGCATCCCAGGACCTTTTCAGGATGTGACCAGCATCACATACTTCCAGCTGTTTTATTAAATTTTGGAAATTTTAGCAACTAAAGGCTGAGAAGCTTCCACTACGGCCACAGCATGGTGTCCCAGGCCTCACAGCAGGGCAGGTAACATATTTTCCTTGTTGGTTTGTGAAGAGGTGTGGGTGCCCAGTGTGGCAGGAGTGCTTTGGAAATATCAGTCAGGTCTATAAGTTCTTGTACGTAAGTCAGAAATCTAAACAGGTCTAACAGACACACATTTCACTATTGATGTAGTTACATCATGTTACTCTTCAAAAGCCTGAAAAAAATTCAGAATTCTGCAACATGGTTGTACCAGGTGCTTTCAGCTATGGTGATATAGTCACATTGCAGTATTTGACACCCAGTAGTGCCACCCAGTTCTGCTTACATATGCTGTGTCAGAGTCCTGTTGGCTGTGCCATACTCTTTAGCATAGAGTCCTCATGGGTCTCTTACCTCTGGTGACATTTATTGGGAGGTGTGTACTTTGGCTTCATCTCCCCGAGTGAGAGCCTGCCTGCTATAGTACACTGGGCTCTCTTAGGCATTTGTGTGCCTGAAGCATTGCCAACCCATATATTCCTGCTTAACACCCATTCGTCAAGTAACTTTTCCATCCCCTTTCTGTTTCTTGTTCCCCAAACTCCCAGCAGTGGATCTGTGTTAGAGGAAAATAACTGGCTGTGATTATTGTAAAGAGAAAAGTTGCTGACTGAATCTAAATTACACCAATGTATGAATGGCTAACAGCCATCCTGCCCAATCATATTCAAGTGAATATTTAATTGTTGCAATTTCAAGTAGTCTGATTATATAAATAATTTTGGTGGGAGATTCAGTGGTTGCCAAAAAGATTTAACTCCATCTTTTCTGCAACTTGCACTTCCCATCTTTTACCAAGAGTTCTTTGAGTAGGATGCTGGTTGCCTGGTAACCATGCCCCCATCTATCTATGATAGGACACTGCCCAGTTTGATACTTAGAACCTACTATAGGAAACGACTTCTCTGGTGTTCCTTATGTCCCACTCTTAAAGGGCAATGGGACAGATCACTGAGTTTCATTTTCACAGGTTCTCTGTAGCCTGCTCATCCAGCATGGCTGTTTGCTATGAACTTTAGAGTAATTTAGAGCAAATTCTCTGAGAAAACTCTTCCCTGGAAATTACTCGATGATTAATGGTGGAAAGACCTAAGAAACAGTGGTCCATGCAGATCAATATATGGATCCAACATTCCCAAGGAGGGTTGATTTATGGATGAAGGAAAACATATATCACAGTTGGCAATTTAAAATAGCTCTCTTCCTAGAGAATAAATGAAAAATTAATTTCTACATGCATCTTCTGACTTTGCCCCACCCGCTTCACATCAATTTTTTAAAAGCCTGGTAAGATCCATAAATTTTCCATTTCTTACAGGAAGTATTTTAGTTTCTACTCAGCTCTAGAGACAAAGGCTACTTCAAAGAACTGCTGAGCAAACTGACCCTGAAGAAGTGCAGAGTGTTTGCTTCCCATCCTTTTACTACAACCAGCACAGCCTGCCTCCAAGGTCTAGCTGAGGGTACTACCTGGCCTTGCATCTTACAGCCTGGTCCCAACAAATTGTG